TTAGGGTTTAGGGTTTACGGTTCTAAGGAGGGTAGACTAGGGGCATGAGGGATTAGGATCTCGGGTTGTGGATCGGCTTCGGGGCTTCGTGCGTTTCCCAAGGCGTGGGGCTCAAAACTTACGAAACTTCAAACCTTCGTCATCTTGGGGACCCTGCACCCTAAACCCTAAACCCTAATAGGGTTTAGGGTTTAGGGTTTAGGGTTTAGGGTTTAGGGTTTAGGGTTTACTAAACCCGAGACCGTGGACCCTGCTGCCGATGCGCGGCGTGAGACCCAAGTCCCTGAATCGCAAACCCAGCTCCCAACCGCAGAAGTACCGGTTCCCCCGTCTCTCCTTGATAAGAATATTTTTCGTGCTATTCATTCTTAATAACGGTTGATGGGCAAAACCCTGCGTGACCTTATATACCTAAACTATGGGATTTATGGTACTATACTATATCTGGGTCATGCAGAATTTTGTCCATCAACAGCAAGCGAAGCCCTAAATAAAACGGTGCAACAGGACACTACTGGGGAATCTAGAAACAAAAACCTTCATAGTTCGTACGTCACGGCCGCATAGTAGACCCTCAGGTCAACAAGACCCTTGCACGAAACCCTACACTCAAACAGTAATACTCGAAAAGTGCTGGACCCAGACGCCTCACGGGCCTAAACAGACACACAACTCTTGCAACTCGCAACCCCTGAGTCTGAATGTAATGTAGATAGCTATAATCTACACCCCTGCGGAGTCAAACTCGGGCATGACCTTGATGACAATGATGGTGACGATGGGGAATCATCATGCTGCGCTTGATGATGAGAATGATGGTGATGATGACGATGATGATGATGATGATGATAATGATGGTGATGATGATGGTGATGATGATGGTGATGATGAGGAGGAGGAAGAGGAGGAGGATGGCGATGAAAATGATGATGATGATGCAAACAGCGACAGCCATGATGATGGCTACCTACCTTTGGTGCTATCCCTGCGCCACGGTTTCACACCGAGAGCATTTGACCTAGAATCTCACAAGCAGTGGGGCCATGTTGAAAAGCATGCACAACGCCGCGCTGCAAACATGCGCACGCCTGTACGTTCCTAGCCCAAATCCCCACAACACTCGACCTCGCTGCCTGGAAATCGAAGCAGGGCAGGGGGTGCATAGTGCTACAACTATGTAGGAACCATTATGTCCCTGCAACCTGCCCGAAAAGATACTGCGGGAAGCCTCGTTGCCACTTAAAGGCAGGCGCAAGTTTAAGCCAATTCCTCGGCTTTGGGGAAGCCCTTTGGGACCGAAGGAGTTGAGGTAGTATACTACACTACCTCTTCGATACTATACCAAGAGATATCATGCTATACTATGTTATACTATATCATACTAGACTATACTCGATTACAGTAGATTACACTAGTTTATACTATAGTATACTATATTCTACTAGTTTATGCCAGAGGAGAATTCGCTGAAATTGGGGGGGGCGCTTGATGCCTTAGTTGACTGACAGGCTGGTTACACAGGCAACTCTGAACCGTCTGAACCTGGAACTCCCCAAACCCTAAACCCTGAACCCTCAAACTCGAACCCCTGAGCTCTGCCTAAACACTGAACCCCCTCTAAAGGTTTCGGGGTTTAGGGTTTAGGGTTTCGGGGTTTAGGGTTTAGGGGTTTAGGGTTTAGTAGGGTAGGCCTCGACAAGCAGACAGAAAAGCCATACACTCCCTAGGCCCCAGGCTATCCTAGTAAAGGTACAGCGATTCAGGGGTCCAGTCAGGGCCGAGGGTTCACTCATACATGAAGTTCCAAAACCCGGAAACCCTTCCAAGACCTCACAAAAAGAAAAAGGGCTCATACGAGCCCTAATTTGGGGTCCCCTCATAACTAGAACAGGGCTTTGGGCTCCTTTACAGTAAGAAGGAACCCTGAAGAAATAAGATTGGTAATTCTTCAGGCTTCTATAAATTTTTTGAAAAAACACACACGGCTCCTTTACAGTAAGAAGGAACCCTGAAGAATAAGATTGGTAATTCTTCAGGCTTCTATATATTAGAGGGTTTTTAAAAACCCTTTTTGTTAAAAACCCTCTTCGGTTTTTAAAAAGCCTCTATTGGTAATTCTTCAGGCTTCTATATATTATGGCAAACCGGCAAACCTCACCCAAAAAGGCTCACTCGAGCTGTATCAGGTCTATGGGAGGGTTTAGGGTTTAGGGTTTAGGGTTCAGGGTTTAGGGTTTAGGGTTTAGGGTTTAAGGCCTTACATGTGAAGGCCTCCTGATCTTCTACGTGCATCTTTTCCCCGCAAGCCCTAAGAGATGTAAATCCGAAACCCCTGATGGCCCTACCTAAACCCCCCAATAGTTGGTGAAATGATGGCCCCAAGACCTATAAAAGGCCATGATTCATTATAGTTTGGGGGTCCAGGTAATCATAGCTTAGAGCATAAAGTTGAGAGTTTCATTAGGGCCTAAAGCCCACAATCCCGAAAGCCCTGCTAAAGCCCCACAACCCTGAAGTCCCACGGTTTAGGGTTTAGGGTTTAGGGTTTAGGGTTTAGGGTTCAGGGTTTAGGGTTTAGGGTTTAGGGTTCAGGGTTTAGGGTTTAGGGTTTAGGGCCCTAAGACCCTAAACCCTCAACCCCAAGACTCGAAACACTCAACCCTAAGCCCTAAACCCTAAGACTCGAAACCCTCAGCCCTAAGCCCAAAGGCTCTCAATGCAAGGTTAGAGGTATGGACCCCTAATATGGACCCTTAGGCGTTTCTAGGGACCCTTAGCCTTAAGGCTACATATAGGGTATATAGTAGGTATATAAGGGTCTCAAACTTAGACTCAATGCTTCTTCAGCTTCCAACATGCTCCCCATGGAAGCTCTCGAAGACTTCTTCCGCGATGGGAGCCTGCTGTGAGGCTTGGCTGTTACGGTATAGGGTTCTTGGTTTAGGGTTTAGGATTTGGGTTTACAATGTAGGGTTCTTGGTTTAGGAATCACCAAAAGGAGCCCAATTTAGAGAATCCTACACTCAAAACCGCGGGGCATCACGCAATGGGTGCGCATGGTTTGGGGGTGGCCATGAAGTACAGTAAGATTTTTTCTGACAACCAAACGCAACTCCCGTGGGGGGCCGCAAAAGCCGAAAAGGGCTTGGGGGTAGCTACTAGTGTAATATTCAGGACTCGAAGGGCAAACCAGTTTCAACTTTTCCGAACTCTATGCTGACAGACTAAGGGTTAAGTCAGGGCTTGAGGGTTGGGGGCTTTTTGGCTTTATCGGTTCTGCATCTGCATTTCTCCGACCAAAACCTGAAATCGTAAACTTTGAGTTTTTATGGGCTTCAGCACTTTAGGATTTAGGGCTGGCGGGAGGCAATGCCCGAAGAAAAGATTGGGGCCTGTAAGAGTGGAAGAGGGCTTTGGAGTTGCGGATAGTCAGGCCAATGTAGCGGCCTGAATAATTAGAATGGGGTTTTGTTATATAAAATACTATAGGTATAATAAGGAACCCCCAAATAGTATTGGTACCACTGCAATTCGAGCAAAACCTCTCTAGAGTAATGTATTCACTCATGCCCTAAATACAAGGCCTTCCCTACGAAACCCTAAAGACAACACAGGAAGTCCTATACAACCTTCCCACATAATAACACCTACAAAACCACCGATTTAAAGCCCCCACTGCTGCGAGCGGCACCTGCGCCCCGTCAGTGAGCTCTCGCCGAAGCTCTTGGAGTGGCTTGATGAGGGTCATGGTCTGGTACGGCTTTGGGTGTGCAGGGTTCAGGGTTAAGGGGGGGGGTTCAAAAGGGTATCAAAAGGAGCCCTAAACCCTAAACC